GTTGCAGACCTGCTACATTTTTCTACGGATGCAGGACTAAATGTTAGTGGGGTCTGAGTGAACACCCACCCAAACATTTGTATATTTTTAGAAATTAGATGACAAACACTGTTGTTATTGTTAAGTGTTTTAAATTTAATTTCTTTCAATTAATGGTGGGATGCCCTCGAAAGTTCAATATTAGTTTTTCCCCCGGGCATTGATTTGACTTTCGTTGTTGTACTGTATTGCTTATTATTGATTTTTGTTGTAAATGGTTACCGGAATAAATTAATTAAATGAAATGAAACTCATACCATGGTTGGTGAACAACCTTTTTTGGCACTTATGAGTGTCCGGACATAGCCACTGTTAACCTATAGAGTTGCTACCCATTACTCAAGGGACAGCCACAAAGATTTAACGTTTGCATAGAAATAGAGTCTATACTCACTTCAGCCCAAACCATGGAGAGAAGATAAGCGAAATTAGAAATATGGGACTTCTGGATACCCGGCAATAACAGCTGGCAAACCCATGGAGCCTCTACTTCTCCCCATTCTGTCCAGTAGCAGACATAAGATTTAAAACATATTCAAGCAGTCTTGGATTGGTATCAACATTTAGCAAATACAATGTAGAAAACAATTAAAATGCTATTCTCCAAAATGGACTGTGAACAAATAATTATTAAATGACGTAGAACAAACAAATACTCATAAGACAAGCTCATAGTGTACCTAATTTTTTGTAGAAAAGTGCTGGAAAGAAACCATTTTAAATGATCGCAGAAGAAATCCCAATTGGCGCAATAAGCTGCTCACTTTGTCGTTCATTTAAATCCATTTATGGTACAGCTAGTTATGTAACCACTTTCATGACCAAATGTAAGAGACGAGCTTTAAGTCATGTTGCTCCCCGATTGTAAATGAAACAGGGCGTTATAAACAATATACCGGTTGATGATGGAAAATGCAGTTTGAGCAACTTGAACTATATTGAAAATTAGTTACTCTGTTTTACATAATATATACAATGATATCAGCTCCCACTAGTATAATTATATTGTTCAAACCAACCTATCCTTTGCCAATCTAACCTTTACTGACAAATTTATTTCCTTTATGATTAATGGCAACCATTGTAATAGGGTAGCTAAATTTGTGTAATCAAATCTTCTCTATCGTCAGTCTATTGTGTTTTTAAGTAATTTTAAAAATTGTCTGTCTATTTTGTTTTAAATCATGTATTTTGCATGTTTTTAATTTTTTGTTTAGTTTCACTGAAAGGCTGGTCTCTGTTCTTAAGAGTATGATTAAATTAAGAACTAAGAACAAGATTTAAAGTTAGTTGAGACTACAGTTCATATCCACCGCAGCCCCACCGTGTTTGGGGCTGAGGTGAGCAAATATTGACAATATGGTACCGTGACAGAGGTCAGGTCGATAAAACAAAACAAAAAATGATTTAGCGCCGGGTGCTGTTTAGGATGAATGCAGTACAAGTACAATCTTTGACCACCGTTGAACTGAAGAAAGACAAGGAAACAGGCCCAAGTCCAGGTGTGGGAGGTGATACGATGAGTGCGTAATGAACGCACCCCCTTCCAAACAGAAAAGTGTCCACATTATTGAGACAGTTGAAAATGTACTAAATATAAAATGTGTTACTTCTGTAATAAATATATAAAAGGAAATCTTAAATATTTACAGTTAAACCAATGTAATCTATCGGAACTCTACATCACCCTTCACTACCAAGGCTGCTATGCAACAGGCTTTTCCCTTTGACAACATATTTGGTTCTAGCGATCCCCGCTCCCCAGTTAGTTTATTTTTGCACGCCCACTAACCGCCTCTCCCATTATAAACTTGGCTTCGGCTCTGGGCAGGAAACCATCTTTTAAAAGTAAGCAAACCGTGACCACTGATATAGTCTACTCAACCACTGACTGTGTAGGCCTACTATTTCGTCATGGGTGAACCTAAACGACAAAATACCTTCCCCAAAGCACATAATTTTTAACTTGTTTCTCTCATTAGGCCAGTATACTCTACCGTTTATGGTCTCACAGTACAATGCGATATAAAATGGGGTTGTTAAAAAAATATGAATGCCTATTATATATATATTCCTTTTGTTGACCAGCTTTTATGCATCATTGGAGAAATTTTCCGATCGGCTAACACCATGTGTACATGCGTCACTTCAAAGCAATACTTTATTCCACAACAACAACTATATTTTCGTATCTTTTGAATTCATTTAATATGTCACAGTATAATGCATTACAAACATACTTTTTGAAAACCTTTTTCTGAAGCAATGAAAATATCGTGTGAATGTTAAGGGGATCTGTTTCACAAGACATCATCTGTTCGATAGTTGGGATTTTGAATTCATACTTACCTCATCGCCACCATGGTGAGTCTGATGTGAACAAATTTTGGAAAATGGCATCTCTTGATACCCAGATATAGAGACCGGGTTGCAACTGCAGAGCTATTGCAAACCTATGCAGGGGCAGATTCAGGATTTAAATTTTAAGGGAAGTGAACTAGATACCTAACCCACCAGAGCTCCATAATGGTTGAAAAAATGGTCCTTTGTCAAGTAATACCACATGCATACTTGTAAAAAACATGAATGTCTTTCATTTTAGGAGTTTAAATTTTAATTGCAAGTAATCATAGCCGACTTGGCCCGTATACTTTTGTGTGATTATGACAGTTTGGCAGACTCAAACCCCCAAAATGCTATAAATACTTAAGTGATATTTTATATTTTTACCATTAAACATTTAAAAATCAATCTTAATTACTAAAATTAAGAATGTTTAAAAACTTTGAAATATACTGTACATATGTGGCAATACAAAAAAAATGCGTATGATGGACCTTTGTTTAAATATATAACATTAAAAGAAAATGTAATGTAAACATTAATAATAAATGCATATCATTTATAGGTATTTATACATATTTTATTTTAAAAAGTAATAGAATTGAGAGAAAGTGGTCCGACCAAAGCCAGTGCGTCTGGCGCGGTTCCGACGGCCCTGTTAATAACATTTTCTATTAAATTATGTGAATTTGAATTTGATCATCGTAAACCGATAGTGTATTGTTATTTTAACAAGTGAAAGACTTTATTATTTTGTCAAGGATTCTGCCTCCATCACACTTTCCTAATGTTTTGGTAAAAGTGTATGACCTTTAAAATGCAGACTTATAGAAATACTAATGTCTGAGAACAACACCAACAAGTAATGAATCCACTAAATATGTGAGAATTAATGACAAAAGTCAAAAATCAATTCGATGTATAAAACTTGTATAAAATTGGATTTCTGAAAGTTTACTGCATAGGCCTATATTTCACGAAAGACATATGGTTCTGTGTTGATTTGATTTACATAAAATACAATCTTATGTGTCACATTTTGTAAATCTGTCTTTTTTTCTTTTTTTTTTTTTTTTATTTACAGAATACCAACACAACATTTATTAGTTGTTTATATTTAGAGGCGGTATATTTTCATATTTTCATTTTTATCCCGTTCATAAATCTATCCATAACTTCAAATACTGTACCTAGTGATTTAAAACAGGCAAAAATAATCCCTATTTTTAACAAAGGAAATAAAGCCGAAGTGGGGAATTATAGACCTGTATATTAAGCATTGTCTCTAAAATACTAGAAAAAGCTGTGTATTTTCAAATGGAAAAGTATTTGCATGAAAACAATATTATTTGAACATCAATCGCGTTTTAGAAAACACTTTTCCACCTACTCTTGCCTCACGCACTTGACAGATCACATAAAATTGAACATATCGAATGGCCTTTATACTGGAATGGTACTGCTGTTCGATACGGTTGATCACGCCATCCTCTGTGAAAATTTAATAATCTGATAATAAGCTGTCTTTAAATGTTGAGAAAACTGAATGCATTCTTTTAGGCCTAAACTGAGAAAAGCAAACAGCTTTAAAATGAAATGTAAGGACCATTTTATTAAGGCAGTTAAATAAGTGACATATTTGGGAATGGAACTGGACCAAGCAGTGTCTGGGGAGACCACTGTCAATAAAACAATCAGAAAGCAAATGCCAGACTTATTTTTTTGTATAGGCAAAGTAAGTGCCTAAATTTAAAATGCCGTAAATTTCTCTGCTCTGCCTTGATACAATGCCATTTTGATTATGCCTTCGCAGCATGGTATCCCGGATTAAGCAAATAAAAAAAACAACAAACAAACAAACTTCAAGTAGCCCAAAACAAAATTGTACGATTCATCAAGAACCTACCTTCTAGATCTTATATCGGTAGAGATCAATTGTCCAGCATTTGATATTTCAATATTGAAAACCAAGTAAAATGTCTACGCCTCAGTCATGT